CAGTTATCGGAATAAGATGTGTGTCCACATAGCTGTGGCTGGTGGGTGGCATGGACAGCTCTGATCTGAGGTCTTGTTTGCTTCTGCAGAGAGGAGGAGAGCCAGGGGCCCTGCCTAGACTACCAGCAGACTAATTCTAGTCTTGGAAGGACATGTTGGGCTAGAATTATATCAATCTGCCTCTCCCAAATATCTCTGGTCTAGGGCTTAGAGGCTGATAAAGAGGCTGATTGGTCTTATGGGATCGGGCAGCCCTTAACTTAGACTTATCAGCTTAGCTCCTTTCCACCAAAAGCTGACTACAAAAAAGAACATCACAAACGGTGAACAGTGAGTAAACCCATTTATCTGAGTAAAACCGTGAATAGAAATTGGAATTCTCCAGATTACAAAATACAAAAAATGACACAAGGGGGAGTGAGGTAACATTCCAGGTCAGACCAAGACAGAGGGTCCAATCTTATTCAACAGAGCCTGCCGGCCTTCCAGCAGTCTCTGGGGGAAATCGGACACGTCTTAAGGAACTAGCTTCCTGTCAAGTCTCTCTTCACATGTCTCTTCTAGGGAGTCTCTAGAATCATATGCCATAGTCTCAAGAAGTCTTGAACCAACTCAGTAAGTCGCCCCTGCCAGTGAACAGCATCATGATCAGCCTTCTTCCCGACAATTAGGAGTCACTTCTCCTTCCTTGCACACAGCAGCATTCACAATGAGTGGAAGCCTGGTCACGTCCACAATACAATTTTAGGAAGGACATGGACAAACACTCACTTCTAGAGAAGAGTTTTCCAGGGACTCTATGAACTGGGCACATTTAGCTCAGAGAAAGGGAAATAAAGTAGCAGGAATGCAAAAGAGATGGGCGCATGCTAGCCATCTTCAAGACTTTGAAGGGCTCTCATTAGGTGTGCTACTTAGCTTCAGTGTGTAGGTCCTGGACCAATGGGTAGAAGTCACATGGAGGCAGATTTCAACTCAGTAAGAAAGATTTTTTTTTCTAACAATAAAAGCTATCCAGAAATATACTGTGCCCATTCAGGAGATGGAAGGAAAGAAGGAAGGAGGGAGGGAGAGAAGGAAAGAAGGAAGAAAGGAAGGAAACAAATATTGGTTAAGCACCTACTACGTACCAGGTACTGTATAAGCATTTTACAAATGTTATCTCATTTATCCTCACAACAACCCTGGAAAGTAAGGTGTTATTCCCATTTTACAGGTGAGAGAACTGAGGCAAACAGTGGTGATGTGACTTGCCCAGGGTCACACAGCTAGTAAATGCTTGCGGCTGGATTTGAATTCAGGTCTTCCTGACTCCAGGCCCAGTGTTCTGTCCCCTGTGCCATCCAGGTAAGTTTCCCACTAATTCGAGCACAGACTAAATGACTCTTTGTTGGGGATGTGGTAGAGGAACCAGCTTCCTGGGAATTCTTGGGACCCTGGGGGGCTTTTGTTCAGTTAACAGATTGCAGTAGATGGCTTCTGAGGTCCCTTCCAACTCAGATTTTGCGAATTTTACAGATATTGTACCAATCCAAACGTGGGTCCATATTTGTCCCAAATTGGATTTGTATAAAACCTAGCCATTAGTTGTACTTTCCCCCCCAAGTGTATACTATATGTTGACTCTATTCTGACTCAATTTTAATGATTCTCCTTGCCAATAATATGTAACAGTGATTACTGCCGCTGTTCCCGAGCCAAGGGGACTGGGACATTTAGCCATCTCCCTTTCCAGAGCCATTTTCAGCTCTGGACCCATTCAATGGACTGGGCTCAATCCCGGGGAAGGAGGAGGAAAAGGAGGGGAGGGGGAGGGGGGAGAAGAAGGGGGAGGAGGAGGAGGAAGAGGAGGAGGAGGAAGAGGGCTCTTTTCCTTGTACTCCTTGGCTTTTTGCCCCCATCTTGGAGCCCAGGGAAACATGACATAAAGCTTGGTTTTGGTTCATGCCTAAGACTGACCTTCCCAGAAGCAGGGTATAGGAAGGTGCCTGATATACCATGTAAATCAGGTTTTGCACACTTCTTTATCTCCTCCAAACAAAAGAAATACTAAGTACAAAAAGCTCTCACAAGTGTGCAGTAACAGACTTAAAACAAGCTGCAACATTGTTTTGAGTAATATAACTATTATACTCTCCGGGAGGTTGATATGTAAAACATCAAGATAAAAATAACAATAACACTCATAATTATAACAGCAACTAGCATTTAAATAGACCTTTAAGGTTTGCAAAGTGCTTTTCACAAATATTATCTCATTTGATCATCACAAAAGGGAAGTAGGGTGCTATTATTTTTAGCCCCATTTTACAGATGAGGAAACTGAGGCAGGGAGAAGTTAAGTGATTTGCATAGGGTCACACAACTAGTAATGTCTGAAGCTAGATTTAAAGCCAGGTTTTACTGACCATAAGTCCAGCGGTCTATCCAGCATACCACCTACCTGCACTTTGCAGGACTACTGAATAAGGATTTTATATTTCACCTCAGCCCTGCACTTGTCTTCTGGCAGGCTTGGCTTCTCTGATGCAGAAACTGTCTTCTCCTTATCACTTAGTTCTGCTAAAGGAATAAATAATACAAATTTCTTGAACTCACCAGTTGCATGCAATGAATATACCCATCTTGGGATCACTATTCAGTTACCCATACTCAGGAAGCAAATAAAACTCAGGCTCACCTAAGTGCACACACATGGTTTAGCTATGTGCTTGTATACAGAGGAATGGAGGAATAGCATCAGTTCCAGCCTACTTTTCCAGTGAGAGGCTCAAAGACTCCTGTTATGCATAGAAGATGGGAAGACATGAGTGGCAGAGGGCAGAAACTCTTCTTATAGAAGATCCCTTGAGTTAGCAAATGTTCCTGTTCAGTGGTCGATAAGGATATTATTGCTTTTATGTCCTAAAGAGCCCAAAGCCTTTAGTATTGAACTGCCCAGAAGTGGCCAAGGTATAAGCCCAGCACGTCATGAGGTACATTCAAATTGAGCCCCCTGCTTCGTATGATATTCTAGATTACAGAATTCTGACTATATGCTAATAGACTATGCTTGAATTTTTTTTAATCCTGCATTTCACACTAGGAAGTCAACCTGTGTCAACACTTTCATGCAGAAACCACCATCAATAGGGACATAAAGCACGCCTAAAACTAGCCTTAGGATGCCATCATCATCATCATCATCATCATCATCATCATTGTTAGCACATTAAGACTGGCAAAGTCTGCTATATGTTATCTCATTTGATCCTCACAGCAACCCTGGGAGGTGACTCCCCATTTTACAGATGGGGAAACTGAGGCTCAGGTAAGTTAAGTGACTTGCCTAGGGTCATACAGTCAGTGAGTGAGGCTAACCCATCTTCCTGACTCTAAATCAAACCACTCTATCCACTGCTCCACCCAGAGGTCTCATGTATAAAGAAAAAAACCAGAGACACTTCAAGGACTTCTGATTTCATACATCCCTTGACAGCTCTCCTATGTGGCCAACTTTTTGTTGATGAGCCTTTCTGAAATTAGTTGCACTGTCTTCCAGACAATGGGCACAATGCATCATGATATCTACACTCAAATCCTTAACGGTCTGGCAGCATTTACAAGAACGTGGACTGAATTCCTCCGAAACAAGCCTTTCAGAACATGAGATCACTTTGCTCAGATGAGCTAATGGAGAAGGAGTTTAGTCAAGAAAAAAGGATAATCCTTTATGTCGTTGTGGATTTCAGAGTCAGAGTACCTGGGTTCAAATCTCAGCGCTTTCTTTTTACTACCTGTGTGACACTGGCAAGTCACTGGACAACTCTCTGGACAGAAATTTCCTCATGTATAAAATGAATGGGCTGGACTGGATGTCCTCGAAGGCGCCTAATTCTACATCTATTATTGAATGAATTAATTACAATATATGTGTATAAGAGGTTGCTAATGTCTTAAAAATGTGAGCAGATGACTAAATTTACTGCTAGTTCTATTACATACTAAGAATGTTTGTCAGATGTCCCCTGCCTAGTTTTTATGGCCTCTAGGGATGGAAAAACTCATTACCAGCTAGGATGATGAGTGAGAATCGAAGTTACCTAGATCTGCAAACTCCTCTTGCTTTTTCTTCACTGTGTAAACTCACCATGAAAACGATTTCTACTCTAAAGTCAACACAGGAAAGGCAACAAAGCCCTGGTCAAATACAATGTTCCTTGCTGTCAAAGTTAAAAGGACACATTTGTCCTTTCTGTTAACAATCAATAAACTGTTTTTTTGGGGGAAATGTACTCTCTATGGGGCAACTGTTTGACTACTTTTAAGGAAGTGTCTGTTGTGTTGAAATAAAATCTATTAGTTAAAAAAGTGACTTATATGTAGAGAGACTAGAAGGAGGATAAGCTGTGATTTGCAATTGGGGAAGTAGGACAAAGGTCATCCATCTTTTCAGTCACCTCTTAGCAGTCCAGAACTTTTGATTTGCATAAAACAGGGGAGCACGAGGGAGGGACAGACAGAAGGAGGGAGAGAGAGGGGAGGGGAGGGAGAGATAGAGAGAGGGGGAGGGAGGGATGGGGAGAGAGGGAGGGAGAGAGAGAGAGAGAGAGAGAGAGAGAGAGAGAGAGAGAGAGAGAGAGAGAGAGAGAGAATGAGAACGCAAAAGCAGTTTCCTTCTCACTTGGCTACTTTTCTACTGGAGGAAACAGAACTTGGAGAATACTACTCCCAGCAATGGCATACATCAGTCAACACGCCTTCCTTAAGTGCCTGCTATGTACTGGACACTGTACTAACTGCTGGGGATACAAAGAAAGGCAAAAGACAACCTCTGCTCTCAAAGAGTTCACAGTTTAATGGGGGAGATAACATAAACACAACCGCACACATATAGTAATTTGGAGAAAATTAACAGAGGGGGCATTAAGGGGGCATCTGAAAAGGCTTTTTGTAGAAGGTGGGATTTTAGCTATGACTTGAAGAAAGCCAGAAGGTAACAATAATATCTGATATTTATATAGTGCTTATTATTTGCCAGGCACTGTGCTATCCGCTTTACAATTGTTACTTTTTTTTTCATTTTATCCTTACAACACTAGGATGTGGATGCTTTTATTAGCCCTACTTGATAGCTGAGGAAACTCAGGCGAATACAGAGGGGTTGTGACTTGTCCAGAGTCAGATTGGTTTATGAGGCCAGATTTGAACTCCATTCTTCCTGATTCCAGGTCCAGAACTCTATCCACCCTAGGTAGGGATGAAGGAGAGAGAATTCCAGCCAATAAAAATACATGGACTTGGGAGATGGAATATGTTGGTTGAGGAGCAGCAGGAAAGTGAGCATTACTGGATCACAGGATAGGTGGGAGTGAGGTATAAGAAGGCTGTAAAGGTATGAGGGCTCCAGACCATGAAGGGCTTTGAATGCCAGAGGATTTTACATTTGATGCTGGAGGTGCAGGGAGCCACCGGAGTTTGAGTAGTGAGGGGTGTGTGTGTGTATGTGTGACATGGTGAGACCTGTTCTTTAGGAAGATTAATTCACAGCTGAATGGAAGGTGGACTGGAGCGGTGAGAGACAACCAGCAGGCTACAAGAGATGATGAGGACCAGCAGAGGGTGGTGGCAGTGTCAGAGCAGAGAAGGGGGGGTGGTATGCAAGAGATATTATGGAAGAAAAATGAACAGGATTGGGCAACAGATTGGATATGGGGGGTGAGAGAGAGTGAAGAGTTAATGATGACACCCCCCCCCAGGTTACAAGCTTGGATGACTGGAAAGAGGGTGATGTCCCTGACGGTAATAGCGAAGTCTGTAAGAAAAGGAGTTTTGGGGGGAAATAATGTGTTCATTTTTGTAGATGTTGAGTTTAAGATGTCAACGGAATGACCAGTTGGAGACATCCAATAGGCAATTAGAAATGCAAGTCCATGGGTGAGAAGACAGGTTCCAGCTAGCTAAGCAGATGTAATAATCATTAACATAGACATGATAGGCATAGTCAATGGGAACAGACTATTTCACCAAGTGAAATAGTATAGAGAAGAAGAGTAGAGGGTCGCAGATGGACACCACCATTAGCAAGCTTAACAGGTGAAGATCCTGCAATGGAGACCAAGGAGTGGTCAGATGGGATGAGAACCAGTTCAAAGTAATGTCAGAAACCTAGAGAGAAGAGAGCATCAAGGAGAGGAGGGTGACTGACAGTATCAGGCTGCAGAGAATTCAAGAATGGCTAGTACTGAGGAAAGGCCATTAGAATTGGCAATTAAAAGATCATTGGTAACTCTGAAGACTGCAGTTTCACTTGGAATGCAAATGGTGGAGTTAGAGAACGAGAGGGAAAGAAATGAAGGCACCGATTATGGATGACCTTCTCAAGGAGTGTAGCCACAAACAGGAGGAGAGACATGGGACTGATGGAGATGAATCCATCAAGTGAGTCTTTTGGGGTGGGGGAGACATGGGCTTATTTGTAGGAAGTAGTGAAGAAACCGACAGGGAGAGAGTAGGGATGATAGAAGGGGTAATCTGCTAGACAAGCCACAGAGACATGGAATCATTTGTGCACAAAGAGGGGTTTGCCTTGGCAAGAAGGACGAGCTCCTCATGTGAGATGGGTGAAGGAAGAGACAGTGATGGAACACATCTGAGTGATGGGATGAGTGAAGGGGAGAAGGGGGAGCTCAGTAATGGCCTCAATTCCCACCCCCACCTCCCCAGGGAAATAAAAGCAACGTTCTCTGCTAAGAGTCTGGGGACAAGAGGGAGCTATGGGAGATTCAAGGAGGAAATGAAAAGATATGGAAAAGCCGCAATCATCAGTGGGATAATAAGTCAGTTAGGCAGGTGTAAAATGATTGGTTACCTTGCTGCTGGGAAGGGCCCAGTTAACATGGTTTCATGATTTCCCCCAATTTCATTCACCAGGATGGCTGTAGGGAAGGGAAGGAGAAGCAGAAGAAAATAAGCACTTATTAATTATTTCATCCTCACAACAACCCTGTGAGGTAGGGGCTATTAGTGTACCCATTTTACAGCTGAGGCTGAGGTTAACTGACTTGCACAGGATCACATAACCAGTGTCTAAGGCAGGATTTGAACTCAGTTTTTTTCCTGAGAACGAGTCCAGTGCTCTAACCATCTAGCTACCAGAGATAGGAATTCCAATGAGGCTTGGTAGATGGGGTCATCAATTGTTTTGCCTAAATATTAATTGCCCTATGGCCAGCTAGGGGATGAGCCTCTTCAAACATATTTCAGCTGGTCCCCGGATGAGTACAGGTTTGTACTCCAAGCCTTTCTGGCTTGGTAGGACCTAGCAGAACTTTGACTCCATTGGCACAGCCAAGCTGAAGTCACTTCTGCTTTACAAAGCAAACAGAGATGCAGTTTTTGTTTTCATCATCACTCTTCTCTTACCACTTTGTTTTGGGTCTCTTAGAAGAAGTATGACTGTGGGCAGTATGATGTAGGGATTTCAAAAGTCAGTCTGTCCAACCTCTATACCTTATCAGGAATTTCTGAGGTCTGTGAATTTTTTTTAAATTGATAATTATATTTTGACCTAATTGCTTTTTTTTATGCCATTGCGTATTGTTTTATGCATTTAAAAACATGATTCTGATCAGGAGTCCATAGACATCACCAGACCTCCAAAGGGGTCTATGACACACAAAAGGTTAAGAACTCTGACCTGGGGGCAGCTAGGTAGTGCAGTGGATAGAGAACCAGTCCTGGAGTTAGGAGGACCTGAGTTCAAATCTGGCCTCAGACACTTAGTAGCTGTGTGACCCCAGGCAAGTCACTTAAACCTGATCACCTCAAAAAACCCGACCTAAAAAAAATCCTCACAGTCACCTAGCCTCTGACATTTGTGAATGTTACTTCCTAAAGCAGCCTCACTACCTTTGGAGACAACTCTCACTGCTACAAAGTTCTCCCCATGTTGAACTAAAATCTGCTCTATCTAGCTTTTCTCTTTAGCACCAAATGTCTCACTTCTCCTCCACGTAACAACCTCTCAAACAATTGATGATGACAACCCTCATATCCTGTGCCTCCTTGTTCCTCATCTTCGCTTTTCTAAGCTAACTTCATCCATCGGTCCTGCTATGGCATAGATCTGAACCCCTTCCCCTTCCTGTTCACTTTGTTCAGTGCCCACTTCTTCCTGAAACGCTCGGCCCAGAAGCAGACGTCATGCTCTACATGTGACCTTGATGCTCACAGTATGGAGCGGGACAATGGCCTCCTTGTTCCAGGAGTGTAGTTGTGTTTCCATCACGTATAGCATGGAAAGCAATGGACTTGAGAGGTGGGAGCAAAGTGGGTTCAAATCTCGCTTCCGACACTTACTGTGTGATACATGGACAAGTCACTTCACCTTTATAAGCTTCGGTATCCTTGTCATAAAATGGGATATTTACCCTACTTCAAGGATTATGAGAATCAAATAGGATAAGGTGTCTACGTGCCCTTTAAATGTCATTATTAGCTCTGTGTGTGTGTGTGTGTGTGTGGCTGTACAACACGGTTGACTAGTTTACAGCTCTGTAAATCCTTGAGCCCTTTTTCACATAATAGCTAACATTTCCATAGCATTGTGTGCCACAAACGGTGCTAAACACTTTACAAGGAAACTGAGGCAGAGGTTAAGTGACTTGCCCAGGGCCACCCAGCTTGTAAATGTCTAAGGCTATATTTGACCTCGGTTCTTCCTGACTCCAGACCCGGTGCTCTGTTCACTGAGCCATCGAGCTGCCTTAAGAAGCTTGACTCTAGCCATGCCTTATCCATCCTGTACTTGTTCATTCTGGACATTTATCCCTTCCTCTTTCACTAGTTTAAGCCAACCAGTACGTATTAGGGGCACAGACTCTAAGCAAGGAACTGAGAAGGGAATTAAGTGCCTCCTGGGTACTAAATGCTTTACAAATATCTCATTTGAGCCTCGTAATAACCCTGGGAAGTAAATTCTGTTATCCCAGTTTACAGACGAGGAAACTGAGGCAGAGAACAGTTAAGTGACTTGCCCAGGGTCACACAGCTAGTAACTGTCTTAAGGCTGCATTTGAACTCAGGTCTTCCTGATTCCAGGTCTAGCATTCCATCTACTACACCATTTAGTTGCCTCTAATTTCTAGAGAAGACAGACAAAAAGAAAAAGTCCCTGCTCTTACGGAGATTTTGTAGTTTTCACATTAAGCCCATCATTCCAATCTGTGGAGATTTCTTTTAGATCCTAATTATCTCATTTTAGAACATCTATGTTTGAGTCTTGGTTCCAATGCTTATTATATATAATGTCTGAATTTGATTAAGTCATTTAACCTCTCATCCAGTTTCATCTGTAAAATGGGGATAAATACTTGTACTTCTGATACAAATGGTGTCATTTTACCTTTACAAGCTCCAGTTTCCTCATCTGTAAAATGGGATATTTGCTCTACTTCAAGGATTATGAGAATCAAATGCGATAAAGCATCATGTACCTTAAATGTCATTATTAGCTTTTGTGTGTGTGTGTGTGTGTGTGGCTGCTCCCCACTGCTAACAAGCCAAACTTATGGTTATACAAGGTCACAATAACCGTATGGGGTCATTGAGAGGAAAAGTATTTCGTGAACTTTAAATCTGAATTACCAATAGGTAAGATACGGGGTTCCTAAAAATTAGATTCAGAGGGGAAAAGGTGGCACAGTGGGACATTACAATCCCCTAGAATCAAAGTTTTCCTGATCAACAGCTGGCATGAAATGATTTGGTCTGGGGGATTTTGGCAGCCACCCTCCCTCCGTGGATCTCTGAGCATCCCTTTCTTTTGGAAGTTATCCTTCAGCAATGTCACAATGGCCAGTTTGGGGTGATCCTGCTACCTCACTCTTATGTACTGTAAAGGAGACACTCACGATTGCATTTCCTCCTTTAGGGCTGCCTTTGCTGGGCTGCATTAGGACCAGGCAATATTTACATGAATAATATAGCCACCTTGGGCTAAGCAACTATCTCACACCGAGTACCTCCAAGCCAACCCCCGCCTTTCTCCTGTCCACCCCTGAGCCTTGCTCAAAGGAGGTGGCCTGAGCGGAATCAATAAAGAACCTTGGCTGATGGAAAATGCAGTCTGAGCTGACAGCAGTGAGATGTATTGAGTGAGCAGCAGGGTTTTTTTTTTTTCTCTAGGATTCTAATTACGGAAAAGCAATTAAAAAAAGGCAGACTAATTGCTAGGATACCTAATTCACTCTTTGGGCTGTCATTTAGTTAATGGAAGAGACCAAAATGGCAATAAGTATGAAGTGTTGGCAAGCATGAATTTTTAAAGATGGGAGGAGAGGACGTCACAAAGAGCACATGGGCGCCATATGTCTGGTACAGCCTGGACAGTGGCATGCCACTTCCAACTTGGTTCCCCTATTTCACGACCCTTTTGCATCACTGGGCTGAAAGGATTCCCAGCCCTCAGTGTTCAGATGAACTAGAATCCAATAGATGGGTTTACTTGGCTTCAAACATTTCCAATGCCTTCAAGCTTCCACCACACCTCGGCAGTCAAATGTTCCCAGATCAGTAAGGGAATCCCAGGGGTCAAGACAACCTTACTGTAAACAAGGGGAAAATAAGTTCATTGGTTCATAGGGTCACGGCTGGAGGGTACCTAGGAGGCCATCTGGTTCAACGCCTTCACTCTGCAGGTATAGAAATGGGGACCCAGAGAAGTGGCTATTGAGTCAGAGTTGTGAAAATGCTTGCAGAAAAATCAACCCTCAAGCTACAACCTAAGTTCCTTTGTTTTCATGGTCCACAGAAGCAACGTCTCACAAAGTAATCCGATGGGGTGGTTGTGCATTCATATATGTTCTCCCAAAATCATTTGAGGAGCGGCGTTAGGGCGGCTAGGCGGCATAGCGGGAGAGAGCACCGGGCCTGGGGTCAGGAAGACTCCTCTTGGTGAGGTCAAATCCAGCCTCAGACACTGGCTATGTGACCCTGGGTAAGTCACTTAACCTTGTTTGCCTCAGTTTCCTCATCTGTAAAACGAGCTGAAGAAGGAAATGGTAACCCACTCCAGTATCTTTGCCAAGAAAACCTCAAATTGGATCATGAAGAGTTGGACACAACTGAACAACAATTAAGGGAAGAAAAACAATGCCTGACATCCATAGGTAGCACTATAATATGTTTCACGGTTTAGAGTTGAAAGGGACTTTAGAGTTCATCCAGGGGTGGGGAACCTGTAGCCTCGAGGCCACATGTGGCCTTCCAGGTCCTTGGGTGTGTCCCTTTGACCAAGTCCAAGTTTTATAGAACAAATTCTTTGAGTCCAAATTTTACAGAATGAATCCTTTTATTAAGGGGACTTGTGTTCTGTGAAGTTTGGATTCAGTCAAAGGACTGCACTTGAGGACCTAGAGGGCCATACATGGCCTTGATCTAGTCCAACACTCTTTTTTTACAGATGAGACAACTGAAGCCATAGAGGTTGAGGTTGCAAATATTAACTCATTTGACCCTAAAAGCACTGCGGTTTACACTTCCATTTTTCTGGACAACGAGAAAGAGGCTTTGAGATTTAGTTGACCTGATCACCTAACTAATAATGCTGGAGATGAAGCCAACATTAGGTCTCCTTGACTTCAAGCCTGGTAGTCTATCCACCAAGACGTGCTGCTTCTCGGGGAGGACGAGAACCTCCCTGCTGACAACGTTAACAGAAACGGCAACGTAGTACAAAGGACAGAGCACTGGCTTCAGCATCAGAGATTCACAAGTCAAATCCTTTCTCTGTTACTCTCTCAGTCTCAGTTTCTTCATCTGTAAAATGCGTGGATTGGGCTAGGATGGGCAAGCTCTAGATCTATGACCCTAAGCTGGTGACCACAGGACTTAGACCTGGAAAGGGCCTTAATGGTCACCTAGCCCACTCTTTTGTTGCTGACTCTCTGTGACCCCATTTAGGGTTTTCTTGGCAAAGGAGTGGTTTGCTATTGCCTTCTCTGGCATTTTACAGATGAGGAAGCTGAGGCAAACAGAAGGAAGTGACTTGGCCAGGGTCACACAGCTAGCGTGAGGCCAGATTTGAACTCGGGTCCTTCTGACTCCAGGTCCGGTACTCTATCCACTGCCTACTTTTACCCCATTAGAGCCTAGGAAAACTGAGGCCCAGAGAAATGATTTTTCTCAGGTCCCATCGCTAGGATTTGAACCCAAATTTTCTGACTTCAAATCCATAGCCTTTTCTGATATACATTAAACTCTCTATTCCCTCTTCTGAATAAGCTCCATTAGCTTATGTTTTTCTATCTTAGTTGCTACAGGCTACAGAAAAATTTCTAATTACTTTACAGGTATATTTTCCCCAAATAATTTTCCTCCACTACTAATTTTTAATCATTTTATGCCAACCATGCAAGATAACTTTGCATGAAAATTGTCCAATAGCACCTCTGTCAGCAGAACACAGAAAAGGGTTAGAGCTTCTTTCTTGGGGGAAAAACAAAACTGATTACTATATAAAAACCTGCAAACCTATTTTCTCCAAGGATTATTTCCTTTTCTTCCCTCCCCCTCCCATCCCCTTTTTTTGGGTGGTAATTTAGGTTGACCTGTAATCTCCTCCAAAACTTGCTTTTCCTAAGTAAATGCTCAAATAAAGATTCAGCGTATTTTTGGCAATCTTTGTGAACCGAGTCTTCTAGACTATTCATCAAATTGTTAGCATTTTGTCAATTCTCCTAGCTTCCTATAGCTAAATGGAAGTAGCATTCCATGGGTAGCATCATTTCAGACTGAAGGTACCTCCCCCTCACCCCCTCTATTTGCTAACAGTAAATAGTCTTCCTTATTCACTTAGGCCCCTCCAGGAGTCACCAACCCATTCAGATCCTAGCTCTTTTCTGTCCCATCATCAGCAAGAATGGACAACTCACTCCCTCTCTTACCTGAGAATGTCTCTTGGCCAATGATGTTTATCTGTGTATTATCCCAGTCTCCACACTTGGTTTTTAGGTGTAGATTTTTAAAGACATCAGCATCTCTGGACACTTATGTTATTTCTGTTACTAAAATACTGGTTTCATTTTCCCTTTTAATCACTTTTGCATTTGCCTTACATTCAGAGGAAGTGTTCAAATACGCGCTTTCTTAGGATGGAGAACTTCTCCAATTGGGTGATCATACACTGGTGATTACAAGCTTTGGAACTGCAAAAGGCCTCCCTCAATAACCACCTGGCGGGGACCTTCGGCCTCAAGGCCACATGCGGCCCTCTCTGTCCTCAAGTGCTGCCCTCTGACTGAATCCAAACTTCACAGAACAAATCCTCTTACTAAAGGGATTTTTTCTGTAAAACACGTGGCCTCAAGGCTGCAGGTTCCGCACACCCCTGAGTCCTAGACCATTCTTTTGCCCTTATTTTAGAGACGAGGAAACCAAGGCCCAGCGAGGCGATTTGCCCAAGGTCCCATTGCAAGCAGGACAGAGACAAAAAACTCAGCCTTGATGAAGGTGTCCTATGTACATATATATAATCTTTTTATTTTAAAATGTCAATGAGCATATACATTTCTCCTTAGCTTCTCCCTTGGGACATTGCACTTAAGTTTTCAAAACATGTACAATAAATCCTTTGTACTAAACAGTTTTTGTCTGGGTGGGGGCACCTTACAAAAAGTCAACACAATTGAGAAAAAAAAGCAGAAAAGTGTATTGTTCTGAAAGCCACTTTCTGACAGATTCTTCTCCCTCTTCATTACATAAGGGTCCTTGTGGGGAAAAAACCCAAACGATCGCACGGTGTTGAAAGTGTGGTTTCTGCTGTAGGCCTGCTTGAACCCCAACAGGAACAATGAAAATGGAAGCAAAACAGGGGGACAGGAAAGACTAACCCTCCAAAAAATCTCTAAAAATAGAAACAACAACAAAAAAAATCCCCAAACAGACATCAACAAACACAGAGTACTCAAGGGAGGACAGAAAGTTTAGCAGAGGCCCTGTGGGCTCCTCATCCTTCAAGTACATCACAGGTAGAAAGTGGCAGCACATACACAGTCTCATTTGGTCACTGTCTACGTGGTAGGTACATGAATACATCTTCATCTAAGACAAAGGCAAAAGGAAAAGGAAAGCTATTTACACAAGAGTACGTGGTGGGGTGAGACGGTCAAGCCTGTTCAAGCTGGCATTCCAATCTGGACCGAGCCTTCCTTCTGGTTGGGCTGCCTACGTGGTATATTCTACAGGTATCTCAGTGCTTTACCCATCAGCGTGCCATGCTACCAGCTCACCACTACCAAGGCCTGCTTCAATTCCAAGGATGGCTGAACTCTGCCAAGCTGCAAACCCTCATGGAAGGCCAGGGCAAGCCGCCTGGCTTCAGCAACACCCTCTGGTCTTTTGTACTCGGAGCTTTCCAGTGTCGAACTCTGTCTAGTGGCCTGAGGCCTTTTCTATTTTTAAAAGCCTGTAGGGGGGTCAGCCTGACTCTTCTTTTGAAAATCTCTCTCTCTCCTTTCTCCCTGCTGGTCCTGTAAGGGGCTGCTTTTCCAAGGGGGAAAAAAAAACAATGAAATCCCATTAAGGCTTTATTATTCACTGGGGGAAAGAGTACAGAGTGCCTTGGGCCCTTGAAAGAAAGGCTATATACCTGGTGATATAAAACCCCCTCCCCCTGATTAATAAATAATAACCTGACTTCATGAAGGGGCATACACCTGGGAGAAACCATGAGAGTCTGGAATAGCAGATTATCATCAAAATAGACCCTTTCTCAGAGGGTCCCAGGGTCAGAAACCAAATCTCTTAATATCCCAGATTTCTACTGGCATGGCTAAAGCCCTGCCCGAGATGAATGGTGGCAGAGAAGCAAAGGGAAAGGAGAGGGGTGTTAGGGGGAGAGTTGACTATTAAAACTTCAAATGAAAATAGTACAATCCCTCCATTAACTCCCCTCACCCCCCAAGTATGCTGGGGACCAAAGCAGAATTCAGTAGAGAAAGCTTAGGTACCCACTTCCCCATTATCAGCAGAAGAAAACTCTGAGGATAGTCACAGTTGGGTTCCCCTCAGGCCCAGTGATACATGCTCCTCTTCTGTCCCTTCTGAGCACTCAGGCTCCTCTCTCTCAGCTCAGCCTTTGGTTAGGATTCACCTTGGCCATATGGGTGCAAAGCTTGGCTGGTCTAATATCCCAGGGCTGACTGTGCAGAAACGGGTTTGTGTGGGCAATGGTCATCCTAGAGCCTAAATCGGGACGGGGAGTATGGGTTTGGGAGCAGTTTTCCTTGGACCTGTTCTGCTTCCTTTAATGAAAACAGCGTTGACAAAACGTAGGGCTTAGAGGGGCTGGACAAGCCCAGTTGGGAAATGGAAAGAACCATCTTAAATAAGACAAGTGGGTAACTTGGGGAGAGGGAGGGACTCACTTAAACAAAATACCACAAGACAAAAAGAACTCCCAACACCCAGGAGAACTAGAATAACATCACTGGGAAATGAAAAGCGAGACTTCCTCTGGGATAGCAACAAGTGGATTTGGCTCAAAGTCAGGCGCATAAGACTTGGTGGCATGTAGATAAGTGGAATTTGGAGTGTGCCGCCTTCTGGGCTTATGGGAAGTCCTCTGACGGCCAGCACGTTATCTCGACGTGGTCACTGCCCAAGGATGAAAGGACCCATCACCCCAGTCTGGGGAGAAAGGCAAATATGCAGCGAGCTCAGACCACAAAGTGATCTCAACATGGGGCTTGGACAAATCATTTTGGTCACTTTTGATTTATTCTCCCTTAGTATAGTCTTACTCAAGCTCCTCCTTTACAGGACTGGGACCTGGCATCAACTGCCTCTTCTCCTTTCTCCACCCAACAGCTCTGCTTTCCAAACCAGAAAATGCCACATGTTAGGGAAAGGTACAAAACTGGGTTTGGGCTCTTGGGGACTTGTTTTCCCTATGGCTTGGGAGTGGAATTTCTGGATGCTATCCTGAAATGACAAACAAATGCTCAAAGGGTGGGATTTCATGGCTAGTGGAAGTGGGTATCCAGGGGAAGATAGCCTGAGACCTAGTGGCCATGCTATGCACTGGGCTGCTGCTGAACTTTGACCAGGAGGTGAACGGGGTGCTAAGTCAAGAAGTCTGGCTGCTGTTACATAAAAAGACTCAAGACAGCTGCAATATATGAAGAAAAGAAACACAAGGGGAATGGGAATAGGGGTGTGTGTGTGTGTGTTCAGGGGGTTGGGAACTGGCTACTTAGGATCATACAGCATGAGACTTGCTTCCATGACATACAGGCTCAAGGCGCCAGTAGACAGTCCTCTGTATCGCCATTCCTCCCATCTGTATTTGCCTGAAAGGATCTGAGAGCAAGACAGAGAAACGGAATGGTCTCTGGCTCTCCCAGCATGTAATTGTCTGCAGCACCACATACAGTCAACACGGGAACCACAGAAGTCAGAGCATCCCTCTCCCAGCCCCCCTCTTCCAGCTCCCCATCTCTACAGCACAGAATCTGACACAACGGTGGATCTGATCTGCAGAGGAAGGAAGTGGGAGGGGGCCTACCTCGTGTGGGCAGACCTAGATGGACAAAGTGGTATAGAAACTCCTTGCAGCCAGCGGTTGGGGGTAAATACCTGGTGAGTGCCTTAGTACTGAAATGCCACTTGGCAGGCTACTAGTTTACACATCATGGAATAGTTCCTGAGTAGGGAAGGCTCTAAGCCAATCCTAAGAAAATCTTAATGCCTCCAGGAATGCCAAAGACGTGGCAGCCTGGTGGAAATGCTGGCCCTCTTCTCCTCTGGGGAAGGAATTCAAATATGTGTGAAACGTGGAACTGGCTGGCTGGCATTTTTTAGAATTACACCAACTCCCTTCTTCTCTTTCACTGGCCTACAGAAATGGTTTTCATTACAGAAAGTGGTTAGCTTGGTGAAGACGCCCCAAGCATCTAAGACTCATGGAGGAGACACAACTGGTAGACCCCACTCCTTGCCTCACCCCAGCTCCCACAAAGCAAAGCACTGTCATTTGCACAGTAGTCAGAAAGGATATTTACTTCATTTTGAATTCCATCTCTCTTAAAAAAAAAAAGTCTGCAAGACTGGATTAGGGTTATGAAAGTGGGGTGCTTTGGTGTATGAGCAAGAAGTGTGAAATCATATCTAGAAACAAGAGATGGCAGGGAGGAAGTGTGAAGCAGTCAGTACTCTAGGGTGTACAAGAGACCTGATTGGAAAACGCTGATGAGTACCAGGGGAGCATGAGATGTCTGCCCCCTGGTCACTGCCCTGGAATCCTGGTTTGGTTTTAGGTATGTAATGGGGAAGGAACACGACCATGGATGTTGTGGTATTCCTCAAAGGAGGTATGGCTAAAAGGCCAATGTAAGAGACTTCCCAGACACCCCAGTCTCCTAAACATTGCTTCAAACAGGTCTCCATATACAGAGTGATCCTTTAAACAGGACGGGTGATAGGAGGAGAGAGGGAGGCAGCCATTCAATGAATGTAAATCCCTCCTCCCAGAGAGACCCCTTGGGCCCCAACAGGAAAGACCAACGAGGGTAATGGTAGATGCCAGAAAGGTCCAGGGGACTATGCAGATTTTGGTGAAAACAAACCAATCTGGAAAGAGAATGTGACCCAGACAACTCTCACTGTCATACACCAACAGTGTTCTGTCATTCAGGGCCCTGTTTCACATGGCTGCTTGGGCCCTCGTAGGTAAGATAATATAGGGACTGCTGTGGGCTAGCTTTGGAAAATGCATTCCTCGGCAAGGAGCTGCAATATCCCAGCCCTGCTCTCTGCACCAGGAAGATGGGGATTCAAGGAATGCAAAAAAACCAAACCACCTCCCCCCCACCCAAACCACACCCATAAAAAACCCCCCATGTCTTCTACGCTTTCCCTGTAACAAGCACCAGGCTGACTGGAGGACTTCGGCATCCAAGCCAGCATTCATTTACAGTGACTTTCCAGTGTGTATCTTCCTCAGTTCTTAGGGAAGCTGGCAATTGGACTGGCTGAACATCTTTTAACTGGGTTATACCTGAAAATGCTTGCTCCAAGTATTCTGGAACAAAATAAATACTCCTGTGGCCCCCAATGTGTAGGCCTCAACTTAGGTGATCTATAAAAGGAAGCAAGAGAAACCTGATGCACAAGAGAAGTCTTTGCATTTAGCTCTTGCTGAATGCCCAAGTCCCATGAATATAGGAGAAGGTGGGGACCCAAGGGATACCTGAAGCACTAGGCATTTTTCGGAGCCCCGCCTGGCTAACAGCAAACTCCTCACCCACCTGGCATGGATTGAGAATGGAGGACACCAATTGGAACTGACTTCTGCATTTCCCTTTCTCAAAGAGACATACCATCTCTCTCTTCCAACAACCCTCCCAGTCCCCTGGGCCATCATGAGTCTCATGAAAGTTTGTTCCCGTGTATTAAAGGAATGACATAGACAGAAATGTCGTCTCCTGAGCCCAGCCGGTCGTTGGATATCCGCCAGCCTCTGTCCTTCAGAACGCCTCGAGCTCGCATGACCAGGTCCTGAGCTGCCAGTGTATACCTGGGCAGGGTGAAGCAGAAACAACAGTCAACAAACAGGCATTTATTAGGCAATTACTATATGCCAGGCACTGGGCTAAACAAGGAAGATGGGCATACCCAAGAAATGCAAAAACATAGCCCCCTGCCTTCAGGGAGCTTACATTCTCAGGAGGGAACTGGTGTGCAAAAAAAATTGTCTATACAAGATATACAGAACATAAGAGGAAGGCAGGAGACTGACTATGGTCAGAACTTGGGGCTCAAAAGGGGCAGAGCAGGGAAGGACAGCTGTGCAGTTGTACAAATACCATCAGGATGGACCATGGAAATTCTGGGTAATTTGCAACACTGAGACTAGTCCCAATCCACATTTATCACCCCTTTCCCTGTACTTGTACTCTTACTGGGTCTTGCTTATAAAGTCACTCAATTCCCACATAATTGAATTCCCATGGAAACCAAACAAGGAAATACAAAACAGAGGCATAGGAGATGGTCTTTTAGGCCTTCTGCCTGATTGGTCTGAGGCTGGACAATTTCTTTTCTGGGTCTGGGCCCATGGGCCGGTGCTTAGCTTCATGGCTCAATTAATACATCTGCTGTTAGTTAGCCTTTCAAAAATGACAACTGTCTTGGCACCCCCTTAGTGCAGGGGGTTTTAACCTCTTTTTGCACCACAGCTGCTTTTAGCAGTCTAGTGAAGCCAATACCCCACCCTACCTTGCTCAGAATACATCTTTGAATATATCAGAGAAAATACATAGACTTAACAAAGGAAACCAATCACACTGAATGATAGTCACAAAAATATTTTTAAAAACCTGGGGTGAAGAACTGCTGCCTTAGTAATGAGTGGGAGAGTTGGGTAACTAATCAGAATCTTTCTAATAGGGAATGTTCAGAATTCACCACCAAGCGAGACCTTCTCTTTGGGCATGGCTAGATCTAATCTTCCTTGAGGAGACTCAATCTAAAATGACTGCAAGCTGAAGAAGAGGGCTCCAATTCTTTTATTCCCTCTTGCCTTTCCAACAAGAGAAAAAGAAACGCATGGTTTTTTTTTTATAGTTCACACACTATGATAACGAAACAAGCCAAACTAAATGAGCTGATAGGTTCTGAAGCAAGTTTAAAAACCACTTAATGTATTTAGTTTACAAAAGTTTACCCAGAAATCATTTAGATAATTTCCAGTTGTGATTCCCGCCACTCAAACATATTTGGTGTCACTGCCTCTAGGCGGATGCTGGGCAGTACCAGCCTCTAAATTTTAGTGGTGGGATTCCTTATCAACTCTTTTAGAACTTAAAAAAAAAAGTTAAAACAGCCTGACGATACTAAAAATAAGTACAAAATTTAAAAGCACAGTAACACTATATGACACCTATCTGGAACATTTCTGTTAATTTGTAATAACCAGACCGTAAACCAAACAGCTCTGCACACCTTGAGAACTCTGAACACCACAGTGACCAATCAGCATTCCAGAATACTAAGTGCTTCCTCACAAGAGAAGTGATGGACTCAGGGTATGGAATGAGATAGTTTGTTTGGGGGGGGTGGGGATAGGGCTAATGTGAGAATTTGGTTTGCTTGACTGGGCATATTTATTGACCTGTGCAACATCACTCACTGAGGTGGTGCAGTAGATAAGAGTGCTGAGTCTGGAGTAAGGAAGACCTGAGTTCAAATGCAGCCTTAGACTTACTAGCTCTGTGTAACCTGGGAGAAAGTCACTCCACCTGTTTGTCTCAGTTTCCTCAACTACAAGATGGGGTTAATAATAATACCTACTGCCCAGGGCTGTTGTGAACTGAAATAATCAAATAATATCTGTAAAGGGCCTAGCATTAGTGCTTGGCATATATAAGTGCTATATAAATGCTAGCTATTATCATTTTTGTTGTTGTTATTGTTATTATTATTCAATTTGCTAAAAAGGTTGTCTTTTTTTATTCAATGGTAGGGCAGGGAGTGGGAAGGAGAGACAATTGATATTTGCTAACTGAAAAAGATGAAATTTAATTCAACATTAAAAAAGATTCACATTTAAAAAAATCGATTTCAAACTGCTTTCCAGAATGGTCAGCCCAATTCACAGCTTTACCAACAGCAGATTAGCTCACCTGCCTTTCTTAAAAGACTCCCAACACCAATGATTTTCATCTCTGTCAATTGCCTGGGTGGGAGGTAAAACTTCTGACTTGTTTTGATTTGCATTTTTCTTACAGTGACTTGGAATAATCTTTCATATAGTTGTTAATAGTTCGTGTTTCTTTTGAGAACTGTTTGTTTATATCTTTTGACCATGGATCCACTGGTGAATGGTAACTGGTCTTATATATACACAAATATATTTTTATATAAATATATAATTCTGAATATATATTCCTATAAATCTTAGATATTCTGCAGACTCTTACCAAAGATGTCTTTGCAACATCTACCAAATGATTTTAATTCTGCCCTCTAGGGCCAAGCAGAATTACTGTAATTTCTTTCCTGATACTTGAAGGCAGTCCCCCCCCCCCAACCCCCCCAATCTCTTCTTCGGACTAAATACCCCTTGTTTCTTTAACTAATCTTCATGTGACCTAATCTTGAGGGCTGTCCTTAAGGTCCTGGATATCCAACTCTGGCCACATCTATAAATATGAAGCCTAGAGTTGAACACAATATTTCAGATGTACAAGAGGTGATGTCTCTGATGTTTTGTTTTACCAATGTATCCCTTGCATCTATAGCATAGTGTCAGGAAAATAGTAGGCACTTCATAAATGACTGCTGAATGTGGTCAGACCAGCATAGATCCCTAAGAAGGATACTACAGTCCAAAGATCATACAGCTTTCCTAGATGCCTCACCCACAGTGCTAGTCCTCAGACCTTTTCCAGACAAGGGTTTTGCCTCACCTCCCCCAATTTATATTTAGGTTTAGGAGAAAAAAACCACCTTCAGCAATATATGAGTTTATGCTTTCACCATATTATATCTGGCCTGATATTCTAGCCTTTCAGGGACTTAACAGAACCCACTCTTTTAGGTATTCATCTCAGTTTTATGTCATCTAAAAATCCTATAAGCATACCAAATCACTGATTAAAGAATACATGGTAAAGGACAAATTGGGTCCCTAGGTGGTGCAGTAGATGAGAGCACTGGGCTGAGAACCAGGAAGACTCATCTTCCTGAGTTCAAATCCAATCTCAGACATTTAGTAGCTATGTGACCCTAAGCAAGTCACTTAGCTCTGTTTGCCTCAGTTTCCTCATCTGTAAAATGAGCTGGAAAAAGAAATGGCAAACCACTCCAGTATCTCTGCCAAGAAAACCCCAAAATGGGGTCATGAAGAGTAGGACACAACTGAAAATGAGTGAGCAACAAGAGTAACGAGAAAAAGGATAGACCTCTGCGTCATTCCACTACAGATTGCCTTGTAAGATGATAGGGAACTCTTAACAACTCCTTTTGGGATGTGGACGTTCAACTGACTCCGACGCTCAGGTGCACATCTTTCTGGTTCATGAGAAGAGGACGTCAATTCCATGCTTTCCTAAATTTCCTAAAATTGAGGTCAACGGTATCTAGAGCACTTGCACAACTATCCAAAAAGTGAATGAGGGTAGGTTGGCCTGACTTGTTACTGACAAGACCATGGTGGCTTTTACTACACATTCCTTTTCACTACTTGTTTAAATTACCCAAGGATTCTTAACTGGTGTCCTGGAACTGGTTTTCAAAATAGTTGCCTGTCTTTCAATGTAATTGGTTTCCTTTATAATCCTATGTGTTTTGCTTTCTGCATTTTAAAACACTGTTCTGAGTAGGGGTCTGTAGGCCTCTCCAGACCCCAGATTAATAAGTATGTTCTAGAATTTTGCTAGGATTTGAAGTTAAGCTCACTGGCCTATAGTTTGCAAAGCCCATTTAATTCCCTTTTATAAACTGCTTTTCTGTAACAAATGCAGAACAATGGATCCAAAGCATCTTGTTTAAAAACAAAAACAAAAGCATTTTTGCATCTACAACAAAAGGCAAATATTTTCCAAATCATTTAAACTCGGCTCCTTTTATAAATAAAAATTAACTTTCTCTATACATTAAAAAGTATGAGGGTCACTTTAGACAATTTCTGAATCCATGTGCTGTTTTCTCCCTTTACCTCTCCCATCCATGCACCCTTAGAGGTGTGTTTTTCAGACCCTGAATTCAAGAAGGTAAGAGAGAATCCCATGTGGAGGGATTTTCAATCTCTCTCTGAAAACGCTACCCCATATCCATGTGGGGTGGAAATGGGAGGCATCTTCTATTGAGAGGATTCTCGTGAAACACACCAGGAAAACCAGTCATATGTCTCTTTTCCTAACATTGGTCTCTAAGGGACAAGAATCACCCAGTAGGCTGCCTCAAAACACTTATTGCTACAGTGTCTCTCAGATCAAACCCCCTCCTTAACAGGGACCAAAGAAGAAAGGCAAAGGGAATGGGTCCAGGTCTTGCTTTTAGGAATGGAACAACTGGGTGGGACAGAAGGCCCAAACTGGTTTCCTAGCACGCACTGTAGGCCACCCACATGACATCCAGTGAAGAAACCTTGAGTAAGAAGCAACATCTATCTAACGAGGATACTTTGTAGAAACCCTGGACCAACCTTAGAGACAGACACACCCCAACAGCAACACGGGCAGGAATGGGATGTTCCTGTCTTTTGCTGGTCCATCCTCCTTACCCTACACTTTGTAAGACACGATGCTGAATACTGAAGTCTTTTGGGATGCTTTCATCTCCTCTGCACTACCATCAACCTTACTGGCATTTTCTTCAATTCAACAAGCATTTATTACACACCTACTGTGTGCAACACATTGTACTAGGCACTGGAGATAACATAAGAAATACACACAGAACTTAAGAGTCCCTGCCCACAAAAGAGCAAGACACCACATAAAAACAGGTAAGTGGTACCTAGACACTACAGATGCTGAAAACTAAGAACACAGCTAACGTGTGTGTGTGTGT